CCCCGGGCAGGTCACTTCACCGTGTGAAGCATGAGTTGGGAGCGCCGGCTCTTCGAGGTAAGAAGAGGGTCTTACCGTGTGTCTGCAGAGTGCCAAGTGCTGAGGTACCTTGGTCTCTGCACAGCTTCCATGTGCTACTGTAATATAAATAATAATGTGGAGATAAAGATAAGGTCAAGGAACATCTCTTCAACTTGATAATTTTCCCTGATGGGAAGATTTATATTGCTGTTTCTGGCTGGGCTGGAATTGTGCCAGTTCTTGATCAGTGTCCAAGTAACCATGCAGAAATACTGTATCAAAGGAGGGAAAAAAAAAAAAAAAGAGTTGCTGGGCTCACATGCTAACATAAAGCTTGCTACCTTCTAATTTTGCAATCAAAACAAATACTATCCTGTACTGCACGAACGGCAGCAAGGGAGTGAGCCATCCGTTAAATGTTCGGCGCTGCCAGAGGAAGTGGCAGAACCGTTAGCTGAAGCAGCAGGCTTACTGGCACAGCGCACATTTCATGGGGCTTTATAGCTTCTTTTAAAATAGTCTCCACCACTGCAGACAGTCTGTGGGCTGCATCAGCTGAGTAGAATGTTATCCTGCTAGTACAGGGAATTATTAACATGTTTTCTCTGTGCCAACTATCTCTCCACCGACTGACCCATCCAAGTGACTCAATGAAAGAAAAGTTTAAAAAAAAAATTCCTTCCAACCTAGCTGGGTTTTTTGATGACTGGTTTGGCTGAGGGATAAGCCAAACCCCATAGCTTTGCTGGATGCCACACGGAGGTTGTAACTTAGCACAAAAGGACAGACTTAAACTCCAGAGAAGCAAGATTTATTTGAAAGTTGGGGTTTGGGTTTTGCTTTTAGTTATTGTCTCAGACTGGGATGAGTAAGAAGGAGGAGAAATGCAGTCTGGGAAGCAGTGTACGCTCTTCATGTATGACAGCAAAAGGGTGTACTTTAAATTTGTAATATCAAAAGTGTACATGTGCAGCCAGAAAAATCAAGAACAGCTTCTGTTACTTGAACGTTACAGGTCTGAGGAACAGAATAAGTAGTCATTTAAAAATCTAAATTACTCCAGGGCTAAAAGAAGTTCGACCTTAGACCCACACTGGAAGATGCACATGATGCCAAGGCTGGTTTTGGCAGTCTTTGTTCCAGGCTTCTATAGTACCTTGTACAGTGATGTTCTCGTTCACAGCTGGGCTCCCTAATAGTTTATATAATTATTGGTACAAATGCAATTTCAGTAGATGCTGAAGTGTTTAGAATAGAGCTGTGTATTTTGATTCTACTTGTAGTTATGGGACGATTTGTGAAAGCTTGCTTGGCTTTTGTGTGTGAGTCTACTTAACTGTCACGTTGGATGATTTGTGTGGTAAGTTGGGATGTCAGATGGTCATGCCTCTCACTTTCCTCACTTGATAAATGAGGTCTGACAACTAGTAGATTTCTCAGGCAGGGCCATGGCCTCTCTGAATTCAATGTCATACGCTTTTGGACATTTCCGTAGCATTTGCACCCTCAGCTTCCAGATTCCCCATAATTCTGCTTTTTATATTCTTTAAAAGAGTATTATTTTGGAACTTTAGAAGTAAAGGAATGGATGTAGAAACAAATTTTTAGTTTTAAAAATTAAGGAATAATCGGATAGCAAAGCAGCTTCCCCAGCAAATGATGAGGAAGCTGATGGACCAAGGGTTAAAAGGGTGCAGTGAGGCACATGCTCATTAAAGCTGTGTTTATGCCAGGAACAGAAATTTCCAGTGCTGCTGAGCTAGCCCAGGTAGCTATTCCTGTCTTTCAGTTGCAGGGTCCAGCATTTAAATGACAGTGCTGCTAAGAGTTTTGGGGTTTGTAGCCACTTTTGGTTGTAATAACCAATGAGTTGGAGCATGCAAGTTAAAGAGAATCAGCTGTCAGAGGACTGGCTGAGTTTGCTGCCATGATTCTGCCCCTCCTACATTTGGTAGTGTTCTTAATTAAAATCCTTTCTGAGTTGTGTCACTGATGACTGTTACATGCTTCTCTTATGTGGACTGTACAAGCCTTGTTTAAGCTTGATGATCAAAACGTGCACGTGAAGAGGCAGTGTGTGTCCCAGAGAGTTTGAGGCTGGCTGGGTGGAGCAGGTGAAGACCAAAAGAAACTATCGCTATCTCCATGGCACAGATGAGGAGCTGCAGTGTGAAGATACTGAACGCCTTGGCTAAGGTCAGAGAGGGAGTTTGGGAGAGGCAGGAGCTCGATCAATGTTTTTGAATTACATTTCTGGGATTTAATAAAAATTAATTTTAAAAAATCCCTATCAAATGGGGTTCGAGAGGTAGGAGGACATCAGGAAATTCAAATGAAAAGAGAATAGTTGTATTTAACCTGAGGTTATTTAAAGGGAAGGCTTAAGTTACACTGCATGGTTTCAAACTTGTGACTGATATGCTCTATAGCAGTAGGAATTGCTCTCTGTGGGTGTTTTATTTCCCATCAATCCTTGCACTGGATTCGGTTTGTTAATCAAGAAGACAGCAAACAAAATGCTTCAATGGTGGTCACCAGGGGCCTGCAGTCAGCGTTGCACACACTCAGATGGTGGCCTTGGGGTCTGAAGTCCATGCAGAGAGCTGCCCAGAAGGAGTCCGAGTAAAACTTCCCAATTATCTTTTTTTCTTCTTTTTAATTCTTTAATAATTTCCCCCCCTTGGTCTGAAGACTGTATTTTGCAATATTTCTGCTGCTGCGTTGAGTTGATGGAACATCAGGAGAAAAATGTTTCCCTAGTTTCTTCCAAATCTGAAATCCCAAGTAACATCCTACTTTTGAAATTCCTTGCCCAGAGGATGCCAGCATCCCTCTTGGCTGCTTGGTGGTCACCCTGCCTGCCAACAGCAACACAACCAGCATGATCAGATGAGAGGGCTGGGCAGCAGAAACGGGTCTTTTTTGAACAACTAAGCTGGGCTCTTGAATTATCAAAGCGTAGGGACCAGAGGCCCAATTCTGCATCTGTGCTTGTGCCATCTACATGGTACAAAGTCCTACTGTGTCATCTCTGCTTTTTCTCCATCCTTGGAATATAAATGGTGTTGTAAATGGATGCTAGCAGAGTCATAACTGGTCTTGTCTGTTCCCTGCACACGTAAGCACACACACTCACACATGGATTTGTTTTAGGTTTTTAACAATTTCGTTTTCTATAGAAGCACATGCTAGCAGAGTCATAACTGGTCTTGTCTGTTCCCTGCACATGTAAGCACGCACACTCACACATGGATTTGTTTTAGGTTTTTAACAATTTCATTTTCTATAGAAGCATTATAAAAAATTAACTATACAATTAACTCAAAAAAAAAAAAAAAAAACCCAAACCAAGAAAACCCAAAACAGCAACAGATCTGGTTTCTGGAGCCAGGGACACCTGTGAACCAAGCCAAACTGGTCCATGGCAAGGTGCGCCCAGCAGCTGCGGCACCCGGAGCACTCTGGTGTCCCCGATGGCTGCGGCACCCGGAGCACCAGCCCCTTTATGGCCTGGTTCCCTGTGCCACAAGGTTACTGGGGTGCTGGAGTGTTCTCCTAGTTATGGAGCTGCTGGGGCAGCAGCTGGCCTGGGGAATGCAAATGCGTCCGCTACCTGGACAAGCCTGAGAAGACCTGTATTTAAACATCCCTCTCTGCTGCAAATCTGTTTATGTTTGTACACATCTATTTTTGTAAAATTCCCCCAAATTAGGTATGTGTTTACTTTTTGCTATCATCTAATCAGCAGCTCAAAGTGTAAGTTGATGTTCTATATTTAGTCCAGATATTCAGTAGAGATGATTAGGGATATATCAAAGAGGAGGTTTTTGGTTTTTTTCCTCCTGGGATGTCTTACTGCTCTCTCCTCCTCCTTGTATTACTGCTGCTTCTGTCTCTGCTCATGTTTCTCTGTGCAACCAGGAAGCATATGTCAGAGTATTTGTGTGGCTTTCTGAACATATTTGAAATAATTTGCCTCTAGAAAGTGGTTGTGGTCTGTTTGCCATGAGAAGAGTAGCTGCAGTCCTGATGTGAATTGAAATATCGAATGTTTATGGAAGATGACATAGCAAAGCTGTTTACCATATGGTATACAAGACACAGTGATACTAGACCATGTTTTTCCCCCTGCAGTATGCTAGGGAAAAAATAGAATACAGTAATGCAGTTTGTGTGTTCTTCTGTATTTCATATGTACCTTTAAGAGAGAGCATGACAGTGCTCTCTTAGCCAGGTCATGGGATATAAGTATAATATTAATTATTATTTATATTGAGCATGTATCTTGAGACTTCCATATGAAACTGAGGGCCCAGTCAGGTACATGTAGTAAGGGACATAGTAAGACATTTATGAGATTTCAGCGTGCAGATCTCTTCAAGTTAGGATGTTTCTGGTGACACCTTTTATTCGCAACTGTTCACAGCACCTCCCTCTGCCCCTTCTTTTATTTCTCTGGATCGAGGTCCTCTGGCAGTGTTGTCTGCTCTTGATTATGGGATCTTAGACTAACCATTGCACCCATGTAGACACTTGAAAGCTGACTTAGTGCCAGCCAGCGTGGGTCTAGAGGCAATGTAGTTAAGTTTACATGGAGCTGCAAGCTACAGATTTACCAGCTTGGATCAGTGCATTCATGGGAGTATCTCCATTACATCCTAACTGTATTCCCTAACCGTATTCTTATGCTACCCCATGTGTTTTCTTTGCACGAAGATACTCTCTGAGCCAGATAAAGCAAGAACTAGTCCTGTGAAGCTTAGTGGCTCTCTGCAGGCTTTGCTTTTGGGAATTGCTGTTCCACTGTCTCTTGGTACGTGAACTGTGCCCATCATCAAGGTAAAGTGTGTTACAGGGAACGAAGCAGATGGGGTAAAGAGCCTGAGTTCAAATGCTATCAACAGCAGAAGTGTCTTAACATGCCTATTTCAAGTAAGTATCTGTATTTACATATTGTCGTCTTCCTCTCATTTGATCCAGGTTGTATGGTTGGACCCTGGAAATGGGATGTCAGTCCCGTTCAGGGAGCATAAAGGAAGAAAGAAAATCTCCCTGTTGCTGCTGCTGTGACAGCAAGTGAGAGCAAGAGCAGGAAAATGTCGACAGTCACATCAGCAATCCAGGCTCCTCAGGGCCCTGTGAATCCGCCGCCTCCGGAGGTCACTAATCCTAATAAGCCTGGCCGGAAGACTAACCAATTGCAATATATGCAAAATGTTGTGGTAAAGACCTTGTGGAAGCATCAGTTTGCTTGGCCTTTCTACCAGCCTGTTGATGCAATTAAATTGAATTTGCCGGTATGTATCTATCATGTTCTGCTCTGTATTCTGTTCTTAAAAGCTTTGTGTTGGTGACATCTGTTTTCTGATCACTGGATCAGAATGGTTAGGTTGCTCTTGGGGATTTCCTTGAATGCTCTTAGACTTGCTGAATTAGAAGATGATGTCTTTCAGAGCTGGAGAGGTGCAGGTCTCTGAAGGAGAAAACCTACTTCTCAATTAGTGAGGGAAGAGAAGAGCACACGGGCAAGCTGTCTTAGAACATCTGAAGCATGGTGCTTTGTAGCTTACCTCTGGTTACTTTTATGTGTCTTCACCCCTTATCCCACCTCTGTCCAATTTGAGTGAGAGCCTTGAAGCCCACGCTCTTCTGAGCATTTGGCATTGGGCTCAATGTAACTTGTGTTTCCGATAGGTTTTCCTGGATTTGCCACTGACTTCAGTGTTGAGGAAGACAGGAGAAGCTAATTACCAAGGATACTTTGGAGCTAGATATTTTCAAATCCTGTACTGGAAGTAGAAATAACAGAACAGTTGCATTTACCCATCTGCCTCCTGTGCCTGATGATACCATGTCTCTGTCAGACCGGATAGTGCAAGATACAGCCCGGTTATTCATAAATGACCAAAATTTACTAAGCTGCTTTCTTCCAGGGAACAGAGCCACACGCTCTTCACCTCTTCAAAGGGGTCCCGTAGGGTGTAAAAACTCAGCAGTGGAGGCATACCCCTACCCACCTGCTTCACTTGAATACGGACACCACCACTCCCCTCCCCACCCTGCTGTCGGCTCAGCCGGGCAGCCCATTGTAAATTAACTCTGGCTGCTTTGAGCAAGAGGGTTGCGTGTAGGATTTGAGGGAGCATGGTTCTGGGATGTAAGGTCAGGAGAGCTCCAGTTACCCCAGGTTATAACCCAGTTTTATGGCCTGGATCAGGAGTCTTTTGAACTCGGTAATGTTGTTGATGGGTACTGTTTAAAGTGCTAGCCAAAAGGGTAAAACGCTTAACAGCTGTATAATATTTCTCTAGGTCTGTGCTCCTTTGTGTCTTCTTTTTGTGGATTTAGTTTCTCAGTGAGGCATTTTGAGGTGGTTTTAGGGTAGGTTGCCAGAAAATGTAAAGGAGCAGTCATTTGGAAGAATAGGTGTTTTTCATGTGTGGCCTAAATCTGCACAAGCCCAGTAGCCAGCAGGATTGCCTTTTCTGCCCTAGCGTGCCTCGCCTGGGAATATTGGTGTCTTGGGTCGTGCTTGAGGGTTTTGGGCTCAGAGAGTGGCCAGTGGCTGCCCATGGCTTCGTGTGCACCTGCGGCCAGAGGGCTTGCTGCTCTTCTCCAGAATGAGAAAATTACAGCGTATAACCTTGCGTGCCTAGAGCGTCTCCAGGCTAATCACAGATGCTTGAGACCAGCCCAGAGAGAAACTGGGTTAACATGTGGAAGCCTTTTAAGGGCTGAAACACCCTTAAAAGGGAGACTGAAGCTTTTTGCACGGTCTTAGCCAGTGCTGGCACTGATAAACTCCTGTAAGTTAGAGGCAGCCTTTTAAAAAGAGAGACAGAAATGCTGTTTCCCAAATTGCAGCCAGTCCACCGTTAAACTGAGCACCCTGCCAAAGCTCGTGCTGACCCCACTGCCCCAACTTCTGGTCCCACATGAGCATGAAGCGCATCGCTGCAGTGTCAGTCTGGCTGTCAAGCGTGGCTTGTGCCACTCTGCGGCACAATCCAAAATGGCACCTACAGCCTCGTAAGGGGCATCAAGACTGCAAACAGCTTCCAGCGAGAGCTGCTTGGAAAGCATGTTTTCCTCCACACGTTACTCTTAGTGCCTTCTCAGTCCAGCTGTATAAAAAGCTGGTAATGTCCAAGTAGCCATTTGTGTGTGTGTGTTTGAGCATGTATTGAGGGGGAGTTGTGGAAGGTTGGTGGTTGTGGAAGGAGTTCTTGTGCTTTGTAGTCAAGTTCATAATAATGATAGACTAAAAGGCTACAAATCAGAAAATAAATGAAAACGGAGATGATATTTGCGATTTCCACAAAAATTTTAGGATGTGTTTTCTTGGGAAGGGGAATGAGGAGAAAGCTGGGACTAGAGAGGGATGTGAACAACGCTCTCTGCGTATCAGGAGATGTAACGTCTTTCCTGTTTCTCCAACAGGATTATCACAAAATAATAAAAAACCCAATGGACATGGGGACGATCAAGAAGCGCCTGGAACATAACTATTACTGGAGTGCCAGTGAATGTATGCAGGATTTCAACACCATGTTTACAAATTGTTACATTTATAACAAGGTAAAGAGCCCAGACAAGCCTTTAGCTGGGGCACTGCTTGGAAAAGACCCACTTACAACTGTTACAGTGCAGGTTTTGAGCAGGGCCAGCTCTGCTGTGCTCTGGGCCCTCCTTGCAAGGATTTGAAATGCCACTAATTGCAACCACATTACTTGAAATGCACAAGGCTGTCTTTATGCTGTGTCTTTCTTCCCCCAGACTAGTTCAAATGGCAAATGTGCCTTTTAATTACAGGTAGATTTTTGCTTTGGAGTTATGTAGCAAATTTTTACTCATTTTATTTCCAGTTGGGAATTCTTTAAGGTGAGCTAAAGTTTGTGCAGTGCTTTGCAGGTGTTATGTGGGGTATTATTGTTGTGTGTTACACTGGCTGTCTAGCAGTAAATAGTATCTCTTGGCAGCAGAGAGCAGTTCAGGAAGTATAACTCTGTTCTCTGCCTATGTCTTGTCCATACTTGCACACCTTTAGATCGCTTATTATTATTTTGGGTTTGGCTTGTTTGCTGTTTTGTTAGGTTGTTAAAAGCCTGTATTCTTTGTGTTATGTTTTCTACAATGGTTTGTCATCATTGACCCATACTGGAGAACAATAATAAACAAATTAATTAGTTTGAGCCACACAGTATGTGTTTACACTCTTCTCTTGGACCTGCTGGCAGGCAGAGGAGAACAGCTCATCTGTTCCAGTCTGCTGCTTCCACGCTCATGCACAGGATGCTAGTTATCAGGCTCCTACTGGAAGTCCTTATAACTCTCTGAATGCGGTGTACTTAGAGGCTGTAATTATTGCATGCTAGACCAGAATAGAAGAGCCGGAGGGTAACATGCAAGGAGGGAGAAGAGCCATTCTATTTATTGTTGGAGCTTGGATACTATTATTTATTTCAAGGGCAGTGTCACTGGGGATTTCATGCTCTGCTTCTAATATGTGGATGGTACAGCATGGGCTTGTATTCTTCTTTCTGCAGCCCACAGATGACATCGTCCTCATGGCCCAAGCCCTGGAGAAGATATTTCTGCAGAAGGTGGCCCAGATGCCTCAGGAGGAAGTCGAATTACTACCCCCAGTTCCTAAAGGCAAAGGTCGCAAGCCGTCAGCGGGCACACAGAGTGCAGGTATTAACCCCATCCAGTGACAGTAAATGTTACAAGCTTGTCGCTGAGGCCTGACCCACCTTTCAAGCCTCCTGGCTTTGCAAATGGTGAAGAGGCTAGAAAGGGAGTGTGTAGTCTGATGGTTAAAGCAGTGGGGGCAAGTGCAAGATGGGCCTGTAGGGCTTGTCTGTCTTAAGGCCGCTCTGCATTTGTCATACAAACATTGTACCATCTGTGACTTACCCATCTAGGCAGCACTTCTGTGAGGGAAGGCAATGCTGTTGCTTCCTGTATGCAAAGAAGAAACCAAGGCAAGAAGAGGCCAAGGTAGTTAGACGTGCCAGTCTGCTGCAGGTGACAGACCGTGGCGTGGAATGCCTTTATCCACCTAGGTTTATACAGCTCACCTGAGGTCCTGGCAGGAGTCTGACACAGCAGAGGCTTGGACGTAAATCTTGCCAGTCTCCTAAGCCCCATGTAGCATTTTTCTTTTGCACACACGGTTGCGATATCATAGAATAAAGTTTGATCAGCAGAAAGGATTTATTAAGCCGTTGCAGAAAGCTGTGTGGACCATTGCATATCAGTAGAAACTAAGTTTAGTTCAGCTGGCCTAGAGTTGATTTTAAATGGATTTAGGACTAGAATGTCTGTAAGCACAGTAAAACGGTTCATAAAGGAGCTTGCGTGGGCTGAATTAAACTGTTGCAATTTTTTTTTTCTGTAAACAAGGTCTAATTGTTGCTCTGGGAAAGTCAATTGTTCCTCTTTGTTTTCTTGCCTCTTAGGTGCTAAATGGAGCTACAACTTCATCCAAGTTCAGAGAAATTTGTGATGATGTCTTTTCAGCATCCTTTGATAAAAGTTGCTATACAAACATAGAGGGATATTGCTACTTTGGTTATTAGTTACTAGATTTGTCCCCCTTAACTTTACACTAGTAGGCTGTTCTTTAACAGCGCAGTTGTAGCATAAGAGACACTCGCCTACTTAAGCTCTACTCCCAGCTCTGTTTCTTTCATTGTATAACTTGTGGCAAATCTGAAGTGCTTTGGACTCCTGGGCATTTAGCTGGCAACAGGGGAGTGGTTGTTACCATTTGTCATGCATATTAAAAACACTCCCAGGCTGAGGTCTGTGCAGGACAGCAGCGGTCCAAAAGAGCCATCTCTCTCCTTTCCCCCTCCTTGAGCTCCTGCTCTTTTGCTGAGCGCAGGGTTGTGCTGAGAGCACGAGAGGGGTGAAGACTGTCCCAGAGCAACACAGCCCATGTGTAAAGCTCAAAGTATTTTGCTTGCATGTGGCTGGCCTAAAGCTCATGGTACGAGGACTTAGGTCAGTGATTTCTCGTTTTTTGTTGACCCCTGGGTAACAGCACCAAGTAAATCACACTGTGTCCTTTGTGCTCTTCCTGTGGCCCTGGACTGGGAGCTTTTTGCCAAGACCATGATCGCACAGACCAGTGTCACTTTGTTCCCAATGTCTTGTCGGCACTTGTAACCGTCAGTACATTTCAGTGTGTTTTCACTTTGTCGTTGAAAGGAGCGCAGCAAGCAGTGGCCGTGTCTTCCGTCTCCCCGACGGCCCCGTTCCAGAACGTCCCTCCAGCCGTGTCTCAGACGCCCGTCATTGCTGCCACCCCTGTGCCAACCATCACTGCTAATGTCCCACCTGTCACTGCCCCTCCTGCCGCTGCTCCCCCTCTGCCTGCTGCTCCGATAATGCCTGTGGTGCCTCCTACGCCACCGGTAGTCAAGGTAAATGGAGAACTCGACCCCTTCCTCTTCAGAAGGCAATATTGCTAAGCAGTGCTTTATTTTCATCCCCTCACTGCTGGTTACGTACATTCCTTCTCTTCATGTTTGACTCCTTGCCTCTCTGACCATCGTTGTCCCTTTGGGGTGTGCTCAGACAAGTGCTTGCTGTCGAGTTTGAGAGGGTTGAGAAGAGTTTTGCCATTTTTACCACACCCCAGCTAAGGTGATGTCAACTGTAATTGCTCCAACTTGGTTCCAAGCTCTCATCTGACCATAGCCCTTAGCCAGTGCTGGTGCTCCATGAACCAGAAGGCTGTTGGAGGTTTCCCCCATTTTGCACCATATAGCCCAAAGCATCTCTTCCCTCTGTAACTGACCCCCTCATTTCACTGGGACTATTCCTTTAAGGTTTGCAGACTCCAGCACTAGGAATGTTCCTCTTTGCCATAAACAAGTTCAAGACAAGCCTGTCACTCCAGTTGGAGGAGACTGATGTTGCCTGCAGGTTTTGGGTGCATTAGTTCTGTCTTCCTCACTGAGGAATTTTCTGGGAGTTGCCATTGGTATTTCGCTATTTACTGTGTTAATTTATGGGTATATGAAAATGTTGCTTTAAGTAATCAGAATTTTCCTAGCAAGCTGTGTATTGCTTTAAAAATAATGAAAGCATGGCTCAGAGAAAGTCCCCCTTACTCCCTTCCTCCCCAAAACTGGGAAATTAACTGCAACAGTATGGGTGTTCTCTGATGTGAGGTTGCATGGGCCAGCAGAGCCGCAGAATTGTTTTGCTTATTTAACCCTGTAGTTTGGGAATTACTAGAAATTGTAAGTCAGATCTTGTTGCAGCTAAGCTGTCCTCCTCAGAAGCCTGTCTCATACTTCAGTTTCTGTCCAAATAACTTGCTTCTGAGAATCAGTTTAATTTTATAACTCAAGGATGAGGCCAGAAGTGAGTTTGCTAAATACACACTGCAAAAGTAATTCTGCTTGGGATTTACTTAAGATTTCTCTTAGATTTCCCTAAGGAACTTTTTTTTTGCCCTTTTCTCTCTCTCTCCAGAGAAATAAATCCTTCATAGGACCATAAGAAAGCGCTGACTGGACAGTCACAGCTTGAATTTATGTGAGAGAGGTTTTATTTGCTTAAGGCAAAAACATTAAATTCTTGCTCTTGTCCATAATAAGCAAGCTACCTTAGCACACCCACTAAATACAAGGGAGTGAGGGCTCATGGGTCTTTGGTGATTAATATGCTTTGGTTCAGAACTTATAGCCTGATCCTGCCACTGGGGACTCAGACATGTGGTTAAGTTACTGACACTTACTAAGTCACGATGCATCAGCTGAGCTGCAGTAATCGACTGGGCGCACTCCTTTCCCTTGGCAAACATGAGGTAAGAGTCCTTAGTTTAAATCTCAGTGAAATACATAGAGCTAACACATTTTGCATCATGTTTGGGGTTGGGTTGGAGACGTGCAAATGGCTGGTTACTGTGGCTCAGATGATGTGTAGTAAGTAATACATCGTGTTGTAGTCACTGAATTGTGTGTTGAAGCCTCTAGTCACAAGTCCCATTTGTCCCGGTGAAGTAATTGTATTTTCTGTCGGGGGACAGGCAGATGTCAAAAGCAGGGATGAATTGTGCTAGGTTTCTGCTAGCGTAGCACGAAAGCTGGGCACATACTCATGAGGCCTGTCCCTCTGCTGTTTCAGAAAAAAGGAGTGAAGCGGAAAGCAGACACGACAACCCCCACCACCTCCGCGATCACTGCCAGCCGAAGCGAGTCGCCCACGCCCCTCTCGGACCCCAAGCAGGCCAAAATCATCGCTCGACGGGAGAGCGGCGGCCGGCCCATCAAACCACCAAAGAAAGACCTTGAAGACGGAGAGGTCCCCCAGCATGCAGGGAAGAAGGGCAAACTCTCTGAGCACCTCAAGTACTGTGACAGCATTCTCAAGGAGATGCTCTCGAAGAAGCATGCAGCCTATGCATGGCCCTTTTACAAGCCTGTTGATGCAGAGGCCTTGGAATTACATGACTATCATGATATTATCAAACACCCCATGGATCTCAGTACTGTTAAAGTACGTCCACATTTACCACCTCTTTTGCAGGGTGTCACAGCCCTCTGGTTGCAGAGGACTGGCTCCTTCTGGGGGAGGGGGAAGGGACAAGGGTGGAAAACTGAACCTGTTTGGATATCGTCTGGATATTTTTATATTTTGTTTCCTTCCCCTCTCCTTTTTTTCCCTGTAACCTGGGACATCTTTTTTTCTGCCCTGCAAAGCAGACTGTACAATGGCATCCTCTCCTCTTTGTGGATAGTCCAGCTATTTAAACTTATGTCTTGGGATTGTGTTGCACTGAGAAGAAGAGGTGCTGTATTTCATAGGATTCGATTGATAGTATCCCATTTCCAGAAACTGCTGCCTGCCTACTTGTTGGCGTGATGTGTGGTCCAGATAGGCTTACGCTGAGCAATTCCAACCGGAACGTGATGATCACCTGGTACTCAGGGAGGGGAGGAAATACTGTGATGCTTGTGCAGTTCATGCTTGGCTCTTCAAGAGCTTAGCTTAGTATGGTCCAATATTAAAGGTGTTTTTTCCCAGTAGACTGGGAGGTTTCTCTGAATCCCTCCTAAATATCCATGGAGCAAAGCTGTGTTTTTTTCTAGTTTTCATCTTCTGCTTGTCAGCCGGCCATTGGAATCAGTGTTGGTGGAGGTGAGACTTTCTTCCACGTGCAGGAAGTTAAGGTATTTCTGCTGGGTTCCGTTAGCGTGCCAGAAGTGCTTTGCTGTCACCCGAGCCAATGCTTGGGGTTGTCTGAATGCCCAGGTGACAAAAGGGCAGCTGTGTTTGTGATACCTTCCATGTTCCTTGGCAAATCCTCCGTAGTACCTGGAAGCAGTGTGTCACGCTCTGATGTGCCATGCCATTCAGCCATGATGCTGCAAGGGTTATTCCTACAGCTCCAATATTTTTACGAGTATTTTAGTTGCATTATTTAGTGGTGAGAGAATAGTTGTCACGGTCTGTGCATTGAGGATTAGACCAGGAGTTACCAGTGTCTGAGTTCTAATTGCTGTTTTGATCCTATGGTCCTGGGCAAGTTTCCCTGCAGCTCTGTGCCATAGTTTTCCCAGTCATAAAATGGAGATAATAATACTTAACCTACCTCACAGGGCTGTTGTGAGGACAGATATCTGGAAGGCACTATCTACGTACTAATTATTATTATTATTGATTTGGTTTGTACAGAAAAGAACGTCTCTGAGTTCACAAAAGCATTGGACGCAGGCTCTGGTGGAGCTAGGCTTGGAGACCATTCTTCTCCTGAGCTTGCAGTGCGCTTGCTTTGTTTACAAAAGCCAGTGCGACGTGCAGTAATTTTGACTTGCAATTAAGCTGAGCTGTGTTAAACACCTACAGCAATTTCCTGGGAGGAGAAGAGGGCGAGACAAAGGGTGAGTTGAGCTGCCGGCAAGAAGAGGGAGCCTGAAATGCAGTGGTAAAAGCAGGAGAAAGGGCTAGATTGAACATGGTAGTCTGCAAAGCTGTCTGTCTGACTAATGTTCTGCTGATAAGAGGAAGGTCCCAGTGTTTTCCTGTGTAAGTTTCCATTTTCTCTTGCTCTTAAGTGTGGATGAGGAAGGAAGAAGCTCACCTCAGTTTTGGTACTGCAGTGCATTCGCCATGCTGCTGATTTTGCATGCCCAGTGCTAAAGGCCTACTTAATCCTTGTACGTTGTTTTAATTATATGACTTGCTGTTAAGGTCTGCTTGCTTCACTTTGCACTGGAGTTGCTCTTCTCCACCAGCTTGGCAGTCCATCCACATGGCTTGGATCATAGGCTGATGGATAATTCAGGTTGGTCAGGAGGCCTGCCTCCTGCTCAAAGCAGGGTCGCTTATGCGCTCTCATCTGCTCCCTTCCAGGGGTCACCACCTTCTCAGCTGAGTGGAGCTGACCTTGCCCCTCTGATGCCAGTGAGTGGGCTGGGAGCAGGAACAGGTTGCAAATGGGGTTTTTGGTGTTCTTCTCTAAGTCAGATCAGAGGCGCAGTGCTTAAGCAGCATCAGGAACCTTCATGTATGATGTTCGCCCATGCTTGTCATAGGCTACACATCAAAATCTGTTCTAGGAGTCTATAAACTGGCCAGTATCTTCGAAGGAATTTCAGAATACATCTGATTTGCAGAAATGACTAAGATGAGAAGCAGCATCTCTTCCTGAGTGCAGCTGTTCTTTTTGTTATCGCATTAGAATGATGAAGTGTTATCGATAGCCTTTTCTCTGCAAGTCCTGTGAACACAACTTGTTAGATGATCACGTCCTAGATGAACTCATTTAGTTACTGTACTGATTTTAATGAGACTGCTGGTAAGCCCATTCCTTTCAGACCGATTGTCAGCTCAGTCATGTTCCCTTGACTTTCTAGGGATGCTGTGCATCTCCAGAGATACCTGCAGCCTGGTGGATCAAGCCCTGGGTGAATGCAGTAAGATTAGAGGTGGAGAGTGTGAAATCCTGACTCTGTCAAAGCTGGTATTTCCATGTCTGGTTAGGTGGCTTCTTATTGCAAGGGATTCTGTGCTGTATTCTGCAAAATCTAGGTGCAAAACTGTGATTTCTTGGGTTGGTTACTTCTTCACACTTAAATCTCTTTATAGTCCTAACTTCATTCTTTTTAGAAAGTGTACACCTCTGCGCTTTCTCTGCAAGTGCAGGTGATACTCTCCCTCTGTGCCTTACTAGTGTAGGACAGAAAACTGGAGACTAGTGTAGGACAGAATACTGGTCTCCACTGGAGACCCAGTGGAGTCTTTTGCATGTAAAGACTCTGGATTTGTCTTTCCACGTGGTAGTATTTTTCTTAATAAACTTGTTTGAAGTGCTGCCTGGTACTGTTTTTTTATGGAGTGTTTTATTATCATTGCTCTTGGCCTGTAGATCATAGCGTGACTTCTCTGAGATGCAGCCTATAATACGTTAACTGCATGGAACGGAAACCTGCCATTTGCAGGGAGTATAATTCTCCAGTGTCAGGGGCTTTCTCTGTGGCTCTGAAAGGTTTTAGTTTTAATTCTGCACAAGTGACAATGGCTGTGGTAAAGCAGCGCAACTAATGGCCTTCAGACTAATCTTGAAGGAATTATGTGAGAAGGTAAAAGATAAGCGTTGCTGCAGCTATAATAGATTCCCCAATACCCGGTTGCTTGTCACTTTGGTTCTCTGGTTATATGAGGTTTGACTTTTCTTCAGAGAATATCCTTCATGTCCAGAAGTGGGTCTTTTTTTTCAGACTGTACACCCAGCAGAGGTGTGCTTCAAAAGGGTTTGGAGATTGTTTTCTCCGTGTGCGTGGTGGAGGAGGCAGGTTGGTGGCTGTGATTGTGCTGGTGGCAGGTGAGAGGTCGGGGGGCTGTAGCCGAGCTTGTCATCGCTGGGATTGGAGCGGTGGTACGCTGGAGTGCCGTGCTGGGGCAGGGACTGAGCGGGAAGAGCTGAAGGGACAGGATCGGTGAGCACATCTTCATCTCAGTTCTCTGATAGTCGTCACAGGGGAGGGGAGGAGCAGAACTGCTTGGAGGAGAGGGAGGCAGAGGCATGGGTTACACTTAAAAAATTAAGAGGCAGCAGCCCTAATTCCCCGTAGGAGGTGAAACGCTTGCTGTGAAGCTGTAGCAGCACTGTGCTTCCACTGCCTTCTTCCACGGGCAGACAGGGCCCGGTCGTGGTACATTCACGTTGCACTCTCTGACGCTGGGGAGCTTTGGCATGGGGAGGCAGGGTGCTGTGCCCGTGATGGAGCTGGGGGGAACCTGGAGCACCTCTTCTCCCACTCTGTCCCCTGGCTGCCAGGTCACAGCAGCAGTGATGTGGATGTCTCTGCCTTCAGTTTGCTCAGTGGCGAATAAGCAACGATCTTCTCCATGCGAGAGGATTTATACAAGGTGTTTGCTTTCACAATAAAGTGCTGCCTCCAGTGATCTAGCTGTGCTCGCTGGTTAATTTCCTTGCAGGGAATTGCTGTGGTTTCAGAGCAGCTGAGTTTAGGGTCTTGAATGTGAGGAGGCATTCTTTGGTGGAATTTTTAAAGATTTCTTTACTTGCACCTATTTTGGAGTACAAACACAGTTTCACAACTGCTCTTGCTGAGGTGGTTTCTGTAAGATGCAATTAGACCCCCAGAAATCAGGCTAAGTCCTCATTAGCTGGTAGAGATGGTGTTTTCTCTGCTAAAGTCGCTGGACCTGTGTGGCCCTGTCCCTTGTCAGCACCTGCCCTGATGCCGTGCCCAAGACATGTGCTTTGAGGACAGATTGATGTCCAGTTTAGTCTTGGAGAGGAGAAAATGGAAAGGGGACATGTTAGGCCTTCAAATGTAAAAGATTGCTGCAAGAAGGCAGGGAACAACATCATCTCTGCATCGTCTGTGAGCAGGTCAAGGCTTACCTTGGACCAAGAGACGCGTTAGACATTAGGAAACAAATTTCTGAACGTTAAAGAATATTAAACAATTGATTTGATTGCTGAGGGAAAAATGAGTCTGCTGTGCCAGATATTGCGTAGGGCAGAGAATGGACTAGCTGGCCTCCCAGCACCTCTGCCAGTCCTGCTTGTCTATGATTCCTGATTTGCAATTGTAAATGTAATAACTTTTTTTAAGCAGCTGGATATCTCAAAGTGAATTTGTAACTGAAGATATTCCAGCCCACCAATTTAAAGTCCTTTTTTTTTCTTTTGTTAAGTTATTCTTTACAAGAAAACAAAACAAAAATCCACAGATTAAAACTGTTGGGTTAGAAAACCGTTGGGTTTGGATGAAAGCGAAGCCTCAGACACTGAAATGTATTTCACAGGCAGTAATCAGCCATTGAGTGTGCCAAACAAATATAAGCGCATCAAAAAGGCCTTTCATGCAGTAAGACGTATTTTAAAATAAATGGGCCCTTTCGTTCAGACATATGTTTTGCTTTGGAATTGGCCTGAGATGCTCTTCAGACAAGGCCAGCTCTCCTTCAGACAGAAGCACAAACCTATTTCCCTCTCTGTCTTTGTGCTGTGGCTTGGAGGCTTTCTTCTAGGTTATTCACCAAGAGAATGAGGTCTTCTGACAAAAGTTTGACAGATGTCTGGCTGCAGCACAGCAGAGAGTAAGGCTGCAGGAATGTCACCACCTGGGTGCAGGTCCCTCTGAAGCTGCATCCCTGGAGGTGAAATTCTGCCCTATTCAGAACAAAACCAGTTTTAGGAGTCATTGCAGTGTTTCGAGATAGTTACAAGGTCTGCCGTGTAGCTGTGAAATATCACTGGCCTCCATTGAACAAACGGTAGTTTTGCTTCCGTTAAGGCTTGTAGCGTGGGTTGCAGACCCTAAGCAGCCCTGCTCTCCGCTCAGACGCGGGATGTGTCTTCCCCGATCACGTTTGCAGCCTGTCTGCCAGTCAGCCCCTTCCCTTCACAGGGGGATACAGGTGCACAAGACGTACAAAAGGGAGGCCTGCAAGCACTTGGCAGATAGAGAATTTCTTTAAACCCAGCTCTTTTAAATGCAAATGAAATCTAGTGTTAGCTTCTTTTTCCTTTTGTTAGGAGTAATTGGAGCTAAGGTTTTGTATATAGTAGTAATATATGCATAAAATCAACTAAGTTCTAGGAATGCTATAAACTGTTCTCTAAACCCAAGTTATTCAGTCCCAAACAGCAAGAGAAATGGATGAAAGTGAGAGCTGAAAAATAAAGAGAAAGGAACAAGGTGCAAATATTTAGCTCCTGAAACTTATCCTCACTACACTAGGAAATAACATTATAAACAGGTTCATAAAGGGTGAATTCTGTATCCATTCTCTATCAGTTGGACTTTTAAATCAAGAGTAGGTGGTGTAGTTTAACTGTAAATGCCTATCTTACTGTAGGAATTGCCAAGCAAAATTCATGCCCTGTGTTAGCAGGAAGTCAGAGTTAGATGGTCATGATCTTTGCCCTTTCAGATTTACAGGGCAAATATACCCAAGCAGCATGTAGGAATACACACTTAAGGTACTCCCGTAATTGTAACTTGGTTGTTGACTCTTGCCCTTCCCGTCCATGATTCTTGTTTACATTAGTTTCTGATCCAGCAAACCCTTTTTCTAAATCCCTCTATTTTCTAATGGAATGTGGACCCTAACAGATTTATATAGTACTACTTAGAAAAAGAATACAACCCAAATTTAGAATCTTAAAGTGTTTAAACTGTTACGGAGCAATATCAACTTCTTTGGTGATCTGGTGTTCGTTTGCTTCCTTGTTTTAAAAAGCAGAAACTCTGAATGTTACTTAGGAACCAATAAGCCAGATCGAACTACTGTTCTCTTAGAGAAATGTGACTTTTGAGGCTGTTCTGAGCTGTGTCCAAGATGCACGTGTCCTCCATGCAGTTGCTACAAATGCCTTTTGCTTATGGCTTTTTCTCCCCTTTCCCTTTGGCTTGTTTGTTTGCAGAAAAAAATGGACAGTCGGGAATACCAGGATGCACAAGGTTTTGCAGCAGATATTCGGTTAATGTTCTCTAATTGTTACAAGTACAATCCTCCAGACCACGAAGTGGTAGCCATGGCCAGGAAGCTCCAGGTAAAGGTGTTGGCAAATGCATCTTCCAGAGTACACGTAGTTCAGCTTCAAGGTGTCCATTCAGAGATCCAAGTGTGGATCTGCTCTTGGCACCGACGAGAGTTGGTGATTCCTCCAGCCCTTGGAAAGAGCCATGTTCTCTGCTGCAGAACTGTTACGCTCTTCACATGGCATGACCCAGCACCACATTCCGCTCCTAAAACGTTACATTCATTGCTGTATAAAGTAATGGGAGAATTGTCTTGGGCTTACAGAGTATGTATGCCCGTCTGTACGTTATTATTTACTTGTACAGCACCATGTGTAGTGCAGTAAGGCCCTGACCCGCAGTGGGGTGTCAGGTGTGTTTAAAAGGCCAAAACATGGTCTTGGTGGCTGAGGCTCCTTTCGTCACCAGTTTTTTTCCCCCCTTTTTGTAGGATGTCTTTGAGATGAGGTTCGCAAAGATGCCTGATGAGCCTGCGGAGGCCCCACCTCCACCTCCACCAACAGCACCAGTGGTGAGCAAAAGCACAGAGAGCAGTCACAGCAGTGAGGAGAGCTCTTCCGTCTCGGATAGCTCAGACTCAGAAGAAGAGCGAGCGACTCGGCTGGCGGAGCTCCAGGAGCAGGTATTGCAACGGCCAAGCTGTGTGTCTGTGTCTGTGCAGTAGAAAGGACATAGCAGGAGGAAGGGTTTAATTTTGTTCTTAAAAATCCCATCTAGGCTGGTATGCAGCAAAGCAATCTCCCCTTCTGCCAGCTAAAGGGGAAAAATGCTCAGCTGTGAAGTAAGTGCACGTTCGATGTAATGTTAATTTTCTTTGAGATAGCCGGTCTCGGTGCTGATGCTCTGTGCTTCCTTCTGGGATCCCAGAGTATGAATGAAGGTGCAGACAATACTAGGGGTCTGGGAAGAACAGAGACCTCCATTTTGTGTGAGAGCTCAGGCATAACGAAATCTGTTGCAAGCTTCCTGTGGGATATTGCCCCCCTGTACCCATCTGTAGAAGTGAGCTGTTTTGACTGTTGTGGTTGCAAATGATTAAGCCATGGCCTTTCTTATTATGCAGATACACAATGCCAGATGCTACAGTGCTTACATGTGCTACCGTAATACAATGAAGTGTTAACAAAGTAGCTTATCTGGTGTCTCCAATCAAGCTAGTAAGAGAGCCAAGAAGTGAACCCAGGATTCCAGAGGCCAAGTTGTCAGCTCTCTAGATGGCGCTATTGAGCTTAATTTTTATTTGCCCCTATAAAACAACAATGATGTTTTCATTTGAGTCAACTTCTGCATATTCGCACTGCATTTTTTAAAGAATTTCAAATCAAGCAAAGTCTCCTGAGTTCAGTCACTAGACTGCTTGATCACTGACTTTGTGAAATACTTACACGTTGGGATGTAGAGGAAGGGTATGTGGCGGCATCAGTTATCTTGCCTTGAAGTCTGATTTGTTTTTCCACTGTTCTCCCCCAGCTAAAGGCCGTCCATGAGCAGCTAGCTGCATTGTCACAAGCGCCAGTGAACAAACCAAAGAAAAAAAAAGAGAAGAAGGAAAAAGAGAAGAAAAAGAAAGATAAAGAGAAGGAAAAAGAAAAGCACAAAGTAAAAGCTGAGGAGGAGAAGAAACCCAAGGTGGCTCAACCACCAAAACAAACCCAACAGAAGAAAGCCCCAGCTAAGAAAGCAAACAGCACGACCACAGCTAACAGGTGAGAGCCTGCCTTCTGCGAGTTGCCTTAAGGGGAATGCCAAGAGTTTCCAGCCCGTTTCTCTTGTCCCTCCTGTCTCCGTTGAACTCCTGGTGAAGCTTGGTTGTCAGAGCAGTTAATTTGCTGTTGAATAGTGTCCCCATTCCCAGACAGCTCCAGGGAGTCTTTAAGTTAGAGCTGGCAGTGGAACCATCATATTTCCACCATCCAACTCTCTCAGAATCCCTGCCTGATCCCTCTCAGATAAAAGTTTTGCTTTTTGCCTTTTGCGCAGCCAGCAAGAACGTGCCGTTTCATTGCTGCCCCCCTGCTGCTATGTGGGCTTGTTGTCATGCCTCACAGGGCTAAAATATAATAGAACAGCTGATCTCAGACTTCTGAACTTTTTCAGAAGTTGTGGTGCTGTTCAAGCCATCTGGCTAGAGGTTCAAAGCCAAGAGCATTGGGAT